TTGCTCCATGGCTATCATGTCATCCTTTAACCTTCTCTTCTGCAGGCTAAACATGCCCAGCTCCTTAAGCTGTTCTTCATAGTGCATGATTTTCAGACCTTTTACCATTTTGGTCACTATCTTCTGGACAAATTCCAGATTGTCAATATTCTTCTTGAATTGTGGTGAGGTCTGATCAAAGCAGAATAAAGTGGTACTATTACTTTCTTCAGTCTAGACACTATACTCCTATTGATGCAGCCTAGATTTGTATTGGCTTTCTTGGCTGCCACATCACATTATTGACTCATGTTCATTCAGCCTGTGGTCCACTAATGCCCTTCCTTGGGGATTCCCCAGGGATATCCAGCAGGGAAACTCCAGACTACTTCTGAGGGTTGGACTAGGAGCACACTGGGATTCCCAAAAGATCTCAAGAGGTCTGCTGTATGCTTGTTCTCTGTTGTTGTTGTTGTTTTTTAAAAAAACTTTTAACTTTTAAAAACAAAATATGAGGTGTAGCACAATAGCACAATTCTGATGTAACTCTATTAAGGACGACACCCCAGAACCATTCAGGAAAAATTTAAAATTTAAAAAATTTAAAGAGTCAATGAAGAATAAACATACAAAAATTTAAAGCAGGGGTAGGCAACCTAAGGCCCGGTCATGGATCAGGAGGCAGAACAAACAGGGTAGTGTAAATGGTACTGCGATATTTCAAGTGCAAGAAAGCAAATACAAGAACTAATTAATACCATTCTGCTGCATTTCTGGTTACACGAGAAGCAATGCAAAAATGAAAGAATCTGAAACAAATGATTAGTGTAATGAATACCTCCTAACACAATACATATTGAATCTTCCTTATCCAAAATGCTTGGGACCAGAAGTGTTCTGTTTTTCCCCCCAGATTCTGGAATATATGCATATCCATATGAGATATCTTGGCAAGGGCACCCAAGTCTAAACATAAAATTCATTTATGTTTTGTATACACATTGTACACATAATCTGGAAGTCCTGGAACCAAACACAAGCGGGTATCAATGGCCCACTGTAGTGGCCTCTGATCCCTGTTGTGTTTGCTTTCCTCTCCCATAACTTGTAGAAAGGCCCACCTCACATTTTTTCATCACAATGTGAGCTTCTCTGGTCCTAAGACTATCAACCAGAGCTGTGAAGAGGTAACTAGGAAAGTTACGTCACATCACAGGCTGAGAATCCTAAAATGCTATGGGGAATAGTCAAAATACAAGGTGCTGTTTCAAGGAACACTGACAATGTTTCCCTCCCCAAATAACACAGGACTCTGCAAGACAGAGTTCCAGCTTAAGCATGACAGGAGAGGAACCACTGAAGGTAGTACTATGATAGGGTACTGTGCGTTTGCTGTGATTCTGGCAGATGTGCTGAAAAGAATTCAATACTGACCATCAATCTCAACTTCCTGAGAAGCTTTCTTTTTGAAAAAAAAATTAAGTTCCAGGTTCTTATGATTGTGAAGAAACTGGATAGGTAATCCATGATAAAATCTCAACAGCTATATAGCAGCAAATACCCAAACTATCCATCATTTCCATTAACCTGACAAAAGCAACTTTGTTTTCCAAATAAAACAAAATATAATATAAAATAAAATGAAATAAAAATAAAGAAGGTAGCCTATAGCATTTCTCAAAGAAAGTTTATATGTATCTCTGTTCAAAATTTGAAGATTGCTCCTTCTGTCATTGTTTTTAAATCTCAATTCAAAACTACCTTGTTTTCCAAAGCTTTTGGAATTTTAGTTTAGTTTAGTTTCATAATATTTTATTTCTTTATAATATGTATTTGTTAGCTTGTTCTGTATTGTATTGTATTTGGGTTTTGGATTTATATTTGTATAATTTGTTTTACAACTGTATCGTATTAGTTTTATATTATATTACTCCTCCCCCCTCCCCCTGTGTATTTATGCCTTTGGCAGGACCTGCTTTTGTTTTATTATGGGAAATGCCATGTACACTGATTAGTTTCATTTGATAGTCCTGATGAGGAATCTGTACTCAGGACAAGAGGCCACTGTTACAACAGAATATGAAGAAACAGAATGGTTCCCAATTGGTAAGAGAATCAGGCAACTCATTCAACTTGTACGCAGAAAACATTGTACGAAGAGCAGGCTTAGACTTAGAAGAAGTAGGAGTGAAGAAAGGAGGAAGGGACATCAACAACCTAAGATATGCGGATGACACAATATTACTAGCGGAAAACAACATAGATTTGGAACAGTTACTGAGGAAAGTCAAGGAAGAAAATGCAAAGGCAGACTTTTCCCAAGGAGAGTGCAAAATCGAGGGCAGATTTGGTGATTTGGTACACGTGTACATGCACATGTGTGAAGCAGTACGGAGCACAATATAAAACATACTGGGATCACTGAATGCCAAAAAATAGTGAGCTAGCTAAAGGCAATATAATGGTTAGTATGTTGGTATTTGGCCAGAGTGACCTGAGATTGCACAACAAAGGAAAGACGGGAACAACACAGCTGATTTTCAACATCTTTCTTTCCACAGTACCATGTTGAAGTACTTCTTGAGGTCAACAAATCAGTTATAGTAATAAGCATCTCTACCAGGAGCAGGTCTTTTGTAAAGTTAATGGGATCAGCACATTAGCAACTACCCTGCATTACAAGGCTCATTGGCAATGGTATCTTGCTGCTCGGAAAATCTGTATTCCACCACAGCTACAGTGAAAACTAAATTTAAAAGGAAGAATAAGGAGCTATCTTCTTAACTAGAAATTCCTGGCACTTCAGCCCTGCAAGCAGTCATTTTACTTTATCACTGGCTTTATCACACTATTCATGCATGAAAAGCTGGCACTACCACCTTACCTTACCCTGGCAAGCCCCACTGATGATTGGCCTGGCTCACTATTAATATATATTTTACTGTCCTGGCAGTCCAAACAGTGCCATGCAACTGAAAGGAGCTGCCCTCCCTTTCAGTCTTCCAAAATGCTCCCAACGTAATATTCCTTTGGGCATTGTGGACATTGGGCATTAAAGTGAGGCTAGATCCAGCAGTCCAGTTCTACTTCAGTGAAATCACCACAGTCCAAGAGGCCTGCTGTGACTCATTGCCCAAGGATAGGGATACACCAGAGCTTATTTTGCTCCTAGGGACTCTTTAAACCCAAAACTGGCCCTGTCCCAAGGATTATAGAGAAAAAAGCTATTGGAAACTATGAGTTTTAGGACTAATTGTTTGGGAGTTGTCATCCAAACTTTTCTATGCTCTTGTAAACATTATTGTCCTTCAGTAAGAAGATGGGGGAAATGTTTCCACAGAATCAAGCTGGCAAAGTTCTACTTCAATGATGCATTTCATGGATTAGATATGAAGGCATTTTTAGCAATCAAAAGACCACCAGGGCCTAAAAGGACAGCCTGCAACTCTTGCATTTCTGCTGAACTGCTAGATGCTATTTTTATGTCCTTGTTTTTGTTACTTGATGTGTGTCAGCTGAAGGTGAAATGCACATCTTTTCTGCAGATCTAAAAGCAGGGAGTTCAGGGTTAAGATAGTAAACCTAAAACTGGGATTATGTGGCTACAAACTCTGCTACAAGGTTTTTCTATTGAAACACCATCTTGATCCATCCTATTGCTACTATTACACATGTACACCCTCCTTCTGAGCAATGAGGAACTTTTCGGACACCCCC